CAAGATGTATCACCAAATAAACAGGCCAATAATTGAAGTGTAAAACTAACTAACGTAACTTTAGCCATAGCAGCCCAGATGGCTGCTATGGGGCCTGGGGTTGAAAGGGGGTCCCATTACATTGTTGAAGCAAATTAAATATAGGACATGTGAAAATAATACAGTATTGTATCATTAAGGGTTGGAGGGATTGCAACTGATGACAACTCTAATCTCCTGTGAAGTCATCTCTACAATGTAAAGATGACTTCAGATGCACAAGAGGAGTAATGATTTTGGCATCATTACTCACAGCCCATCACATTTTTGCTATGGGGCCCCCGTGATCTATACTTACGACCCTGTTCTATACTAATTTTTTTTTTTGTTAAAGTAATTTGGATTATAATTTGAATCCATTGATGAACTTTTTAACTTCTATTTAAATAAAACCAGGCAATGTGTTTGTACTAACTAGGCAATACACACAGCCAAGAACCTGTCTGCTGATAACTGGCTTGAGCTTGATGGGGCAGGTACAGCTCCTCACACGAATTTAGTCTCTGAGACAAATGTGAAACCTGAAAAGAATCCAGCACCCATAATTTGGATTCCACCTAAATAGCAGAGTGATGAAATTACCAGTCTAACAGCATTGGTCCCTCACTGTATGCAGCCGAGACAGAAATCAGGGCCGGAGCGGTTAATACTGCTAAAGCAGTCCATAGTTCATAGGCGTGCCACTGCCTAGTACACGATCTCTTCAATTACGAAAAAGAAAAGTAGTACAAAAAAAAAACAGATGTTATATTCCCTTACTATGATCTAAAGGCAAATGTACAGCGTATATTTTAAGGATCAGTATACTAAAGGTGTTATATTATAGTCACAGGTGGTGCCTAGGAGGGTGTCAGCCCCTGGCTTCTTATAGAATAATGTGAACAAGTAAGTACGGAAAAATTAGGCTTTTTGATCATTTATTTAACAAAAATATCAATAGATTGTGTTGGAAAATCAATTTCTGGTTCAATTGCAACTGCAGGACAGATGGCCTCACATAGCCTCACATTCTTATCAAGCATGCTGCAGGATTCATAGTTTATATATTGTGTTTGATTTACTAATGAAAAATAGACTGATCACTTTGCAAGGGAATTCCCTTATTATTATTATACAGGATTTATATAGCGGCAACAGTTTGCGCAGCGCTTTACAATATAAGGAAGACACTACAATCACACCTTTTTTTATATTCGCAGTGGCAGTATTTTTTTATATGTGCAGTGGCAATTTTTTTAATATGTGCAGTGGTAGTATTTTTTTATATGTGCAGTGGCAGTATTTTTTTATATGTGCAGTGGCAATTTTTTTAATATGTGCAGTGGTAGTATTATATGTGATATGATTACATTGGTTAGGAATCAATCACTCTCCCTGGAAGCATCGATTGTGCATTCAGGGAGAGTGTTTTCTAACCGCATGTAATCATATCACATGTGAGAGGGGGGGGGGGACTTAGGGGGTAGCTGCACTGCAAGGGCTAATTTGAACAAATCCTGGAGCACTCCTTTAAATGGCCAAAAGGTGTTCAGGTCATGGGTGGCCTTATGGACTATTAGTTAACTGTAGGAGGAGATGGGCCCCTGTGTCTAATAGATAACCCTGATTACTTAAAACAATTGAAGCTAGCTGTGGACACCTGGAGGTGTCTGCCTATTGTATGTCAGATGTGATAAGCACAGGTTCACTTTAAGGGGATGATTTAAAATCATCCACCCAGACATAAGCTGGCTGAATGCTATTCGCACAGCATTTTTGCCAATAGATGGAGCTGAGGAGAATAGAAATGTCCAGTGCTCCTTGGCTCCATTGAGTGCTAAGAATGCCATGCAAATGGCATTTGATCACCATACGTCTAATGGGATGATTCATAAGTCATCCATCCAAAGTTTATCCCTTTACTTATTTCAAGATCATCCCCTTAGTGTTCCAATACAAATGATAATTAGAAAGAAGACTTTCATTTGTATAGGTAGCTTTTTCAAAGAAGTAATTTTCTTGAAGCTGTCATTTGAGAATACACAAGTCAGTACAAGCAAATAAGACAAGATAATAATTACACCTTGTATTTCTGTAACTAAGTTGTGCCATCTGCTGATATATATAGCAGTGCCTGAAAAAACTAGTGATAGGTGACATTCAGACCATATGTGTTAAAAATAAATATCAAGCACATACAGTACTCATTTCACTATAATTACTTTAATAGAGTACTCAGTGTACATTACGTGTTTTATAACCTTGCTCTCCTTGTATAAATAATTATTTGGATCCAATCGGGAAGAGTGCGATCATGTAAAATGATAAACAATAACCAGTTTGTTCTTGAAGAACTAGTCAACCTGTAAAGTTGTAATAGTTAAAAAAGGATATTACATTGGAAGGATTGCATTGGATAGGTTAGAGAAGTGGTGTGGTATGACCCCTTTTGGGTTTTTCAATGATGAGTGTGACTCATTTAGTTCTTTACATAGTGGCCTCTTTAAGCTTCCCTACCTTATTTCCTGTAAGGATATTGTGTGTTAAATTACACAATAAAACAATATTTTAAAATATAGAATAGCATTTTCACAATAGAAGGTATCATTACGTTATCATTTAATTGAGAAATTAAGCAAACAAATCATTTATTGATCATTGAAACTAACAGGGCTGTTCACAAAAGGGTGAAGAGTTTGGAGAAGGCAGAAGTGAACAATCTAGGACAACATAGCTGAACTGGAAAGTGATCTGAATTGGAGCATTTTTCCAAATCAACTATGTTGTCCTAGATTGTTCACTTCTCCTACCTTCACCAAACTCTTCACCCTTTTGTGAATAGCCCAGTAAGTATCGGGAATTTTCAAAAAGTTTTGAATAGAGTAGAGTTATTTTTTGTTATCTGTTTCCATGTGGGTCTTCTTGTTGAACCCAAGAGGAAGTGGAAGAAAATCTCTACAGTTCTCACTAAAACAGGTGACCCCATTAGAGAATACACCCTTATCTTTACCTTTTCTTCCAGTAACACCTGGAAAATTTAGGCATTCACATAATTTTATGTCTTGGTGACATTGGGTCGCCAGCACCGTTCAAAGAGGGTGGGGACACAGACAACAATACGCATTTTTCCAAAAGTTAAGAAAAAAGGGTTTTGACTATAAATACACTAAATACACAATCCATAGGATTTATTTTTAGTTTTACATAGAGTTGGCTGCTTAGAACCAGCCAGGAATCAGAAGGATTGTTACTGAAATCTTACAGTGCTCCTGATTATTCTGTATTATACTTTTAAAGTTGATCTGATAAGACCAAGAACAATACCTCAACAGCAACCAATAACAAGGCATGTTTGAATTCTCTAACTGCACCCCTTTTTAGTAAGGTAAACATGCAACATTTTAGATAGATAGATAGATAGATAGATAGATATTGTGGCAGTGCGTGGCAATACCACTGGGCACCCAGGACTCTTAGCCAGAGGGGCTGAGCAGTTCCAGGACAGTTCCAGGACAGATGAACTTGTACCAGGAAAGAGCTGGCTTTACAATTCTTTCCGGACTTTCTAAGTTGAGAACTGGGAGGGATGAAATCTCCATTACTGGGTCCGGGCTTTAGTGGTAACCAGCACCGAATGATGGTGTACCTGTGCACAGCCCTTATGAACTGGAGGCTGGTTTAGGTTCAGGGTTCCACCTGGGAGACAGAGACGGTCTCTGTGCAGGAGTCAGGAGGGTTCCACCCTGGAACCAGCCTGTGTGGCAGGTGGTTTGGATACAGCCTGCATGGGAAAGGCATTTGGTAAACAGAAGGAACAGACAGTGGCCTGAGGTCAAAGGCCGGCGCATGGGTGCTGCGAATGCAAAGCTGGGAGGCTGGATGCGCATGTGTTCCTGTGCAAGAGATGCTAAAGAACCCCTGCGAAGGTAATCACATTGTTTGGTGTACTTTCATTTAATAACAGTGGGCAAGGAAGCCCTTAAAGGAAGATTTCAGCGAGTGGATGTATCCTTAATGCGCTACCATTGGAAGCTAAATCTCACAAGATAATATATATATTGTACAGTACGCCAGAAGATGGGTCCTGGGAAAGGTGTCTATTTCCCTTTGTTTGGGTTGTGGTCCCTTTAAGGGACAGAAATGGGTTAACACCTGCTTGACCTGTTTGCTTGACCTGGTCAACAAAGAATGGGAAAATGAACTGGTTCAGCAGAAAAGTGTTCTTGAGTATGTCTCCCAAATGCAGGAAAGGATCATAAGTGTAATGCCACTGGTCAAGGAACATTTGCAAAAGGCTCAGGAGGCTCAACGGCGGGTCTATAATAGATCTGCTAAAGTGAGGCATTTCCAAGTAGGGGATCGAGTGGTGGTACTGATTCCCACATTCGAAAGTAAGTTCCTGGCCAGATGGCAAGGCCCATTTGAGATTGTGGAAAAAGTGGGGGAGGTGAATTATAAAGTCCACCAACTAGGCAAAAGGAAGCCATATCCTCAGGCTCAGAGGAAGGCCATTTCTGAAGAGGTGAAGAAGATGTTAGACCTAGGAATAATTGAGGAATCTCAGAGTGAGTGGTCAAGCCCTATTGTGTTGGTACCGAAGCCCAACGGAACTCTGAGATTCTGCAATGATTTCCGGAAACTTAATGAAATTTCAAAGTTTGATGCCTACCCTATGCCTCGGGTAGATTAACTCATTGAAAGGCTAGGCCAAGCCAGGTGCATCACCACTTTAGACCTACCAAGGAGTATTGGCAGATTCCTTTAACCAAGGCTGTCAGGGAGAAAACAGCTTTTTCCACCCCAGAGGGGCACTTCCAATACGAGAGAATACCTTTTGGTCTACAGACTGCTCCAGCCACATTCCAGCGGGCGATGGATAGGGTTTTACGTCCTGACCAGAATTATGCGTCAGTATGTTTGGATGACATTGTCATTTTTAGTAAAGACTGGGAATCCCATCCCATTTGCCCAAAGTCCAGGCAATGTTAGACTCTCTGTGGAAAGCAGGATTTTTGGTTAACCCTGAAAAATGTGTTTTAGGAATGGAGGAAGCAAAATACCTGGGGTATATTGTGGGAAGAGGGCTGGTGAAACCACAAGTAAGCAAGGTAGAGGCTATACAGACCTGGTCCCGTCCCTTCACAAAGAAGCAGGTACGGACATTCCTGGGCATGGTGGGATACTACAGAAGGTTTGTACCAAACTTTGCCACCCTGGCTGCTCCATTGACCGACTTGACTAAAGGTCGGAAGTTCAGTGGAATGCGGATGCAGAAAAGGCCTTTCAGGAGCTCAAATCGGCACTATGCCAACACCCTGTATTGGTAGCTCCTGACTTTTCAAAGGAATTTGTTGTCCAGATAGATGCCTCTGATGTGGGATTAGGAGCTGTTCTGTTACAAGTCCTCTATGGAGAAGAGCATCCGATAGTTGACCGCGGCTGAAAGGAACTATGCCATAATTGAACGGGAGTGTCTAGCCATAATGTGGGCTTTGGATTCCCTTAGCTATTACTTGTTGGGGAGGAAGTTTAGGCTGGTTTCTGACCATGCTCCATTGACCTTGTTGCAACAGAGTGAGGGAACGAATGCCAGGGTGACCCGATACCTATTGTCTGACATCCACTGTTGCCTCCACCACCTCTGCGTTGGGGCAGAGGGCGGGATATGTACAGGACGCCAGAAGATGGATCCTGGGAAAGGTGTATTGTTCCCTTTGTTCGGGTTGTGGTCCCTTTTAAGGGACTGAACTGGGTTAACACCTGCAGCAGGAAGTGTGTTCAAAAGGATAGGAAGCTAGAGATAGAGGGAGGGAGAAGGAGAGAGAAGCCCTGATTAATGTTTGCAGACAAGGCTGTGGAGCAGATGAAAGTACTGGTGCTGTGACGCAGCTGAGGTTTACTGGGACCCTGTGGGCTGAGAGAAACTCTAAAGGTTAAGAGTGTGATAACCTTGTGGACTGAAACCCTCTAAGCCGGGGAGGCTGTTATTCTTCTCTGTGCTGAAGGAAGCAAACGGTACAGTTTATTATTTCTATGCTGAAGTGCTGAAGAAAGCAATCTTTTATAAGTTGTTTTGCTGTACTGATGAAGGAAATTACTGTTTATTGTTACTGCTGTGGAAAATAAATACAGTTTGTCTGATAAAGCCTGTGTCCTGCGGTCCAGCTAATTCCCCAAACATCACAATATATATATATATATATAGTGTATTCTCCTTTTGAACCAGCAGGTGCAGTTTCATGCTCCTTTTTCACATTGCTCACTTTGTACTTACCTCAAGCTGCAACGTATGGATGCAGTTAAATGAGTCAGAACAGTGAATTACCACACTGGCTTACTCCTTATCAGGCTGCTATGTCTAAGGTTTCAGTGAGCTGCAGCCTGCTTGAAAGGTGATGACTAATGTGCTTGGGGCTGGATTTGTACTTTCTGCTTCCCTAGGCCAACTGTCCTGTGCCACTCCCCTTCCATCTACCGCTGTCCATTGGCCAGATTTAAGCTGGCCATACATGAAATTAATTCTGTTAAATTGGCTGTAATTCTATCCATGGGAGACCCTGCCATTGCCATGCGTGAATTGACAAAAATCGATTTTTCAATCTACTTTTGTCAATAGAGCCAGTCTAAATCTTGCACATAAGCCGCAGCCACCATCTTAGGAGTGGATGAGGGGAATTAAGTGATTTCTCTATTTCAGTCCCAACAGAAATATAACTGTTCTGGCCAGCTTTAATATCATGATGGCAAGATCAGATATCATAGCTGCAAAACACATTGATGTTTAGGGCTTCCCCCCCCCCCCACACACCCCGCACAAGGCACTGTGCCTTGTGAGCCCTGATAGGCTAAAGCCTTGCACCTGACTAGAGGTCAGGTGACAGACTTTGCTCAATCAGGGCACAGAGAACAGTGAGAGCCATGATTGAACAAAGTCATTTTGACTCTGCCCAATCATGGCTCACCCTGTTACAACTGTAAACAGTTGGGTGGAGCTAGCTGTCACTACTAGCTCTGCCCAAATGTTTATATGTTACTGGCATCTGTCAAAATGTCATTCTGCGGCGGGTGTTCGTCGCAACGATGGGACGGCGGTCGTCTGGTTTTAAAAAAAAAATATATATATTTATTTTTTACTGTTTTATTTTTTATTTCGTCGAGTTGTCCTCATCCTTTTTTTTCATTGATACATGTCCCCAAGTGCAGTACGCGGATCCCCATACACTTTTTATGGCCTTGCATATAAGCCTTCAAAAATTGGAACATTTGATTTTCTGAGTTCTGTACCCATAGACCTGCATTGAGTTCGAGTTTGAATACGAACTTTCCCCATGTTCAAAAGTTCAAATTCAAACCGAACATGGGGGTGTTCCGTCCATCACTATTGATGACCATATTGACCGCGCTAGTTATAAATCTCTTCCAATATTATAACCCCTTCTTTTTTTTTATACATTCTTTATTTTCAAAACAGCATATATAAGATACAATCAGAAGCATAAAAGTATAGGGATAAATCGTAGCAAACAATGAGCAGAATGGCATCCGCCAGGGCCACCGCCCCCAAGGGGGTCTAGACATAAATCAACCTTGCGCTATTCAGCATCTATAAGAAAGCATAGTAATCCGTCATCGGTGGGTCTCCCTGCCGCTGTGCCATATAAGCAAAGAGGTCTCATTGTGGTTTGAAAGCGTAGAAGCACATATCTGGAGTCAATTGAGGAAACCGGTGTGGCCATCTGTGCCATTCACCAGTTTTCCAGGGTTTACAGGGGAAAACAGAAGGGAGAATTCTAGGGAGGGAAAGGACGGGATAGATCTAGGGCGAATACGAAAGACCAGGTAGAGTCGGAGGGAGAAGGGAAGAGAAGGAAGAAGAAAAGAAAAAAAAAAGGGGGGGAGGGGGGAGAGAATAGGGTGCCTCTGCAGTCTCAGTCCAGGAGGCTCAAATATTCCAGGGAGGACGAGAACTCGTCCCACTCAAACCAGGTGTGGCGAAATCGAGTCCCCGTTCTCTTTAGGGAGCTGGTAAGGTCCTCCATCTGCCTGATGTCATTGATCTTGCCGAGCCATAGCTTAATAGTGGGAGGAGAGACCTGTTCCACAAGGCCGGGATACAAGCTCTGGCCGCATTGACGAGGTGGACCACCAAGGACCGTTTGTAGCTCCGCACCGAGCCGGCGGCCAGGTGAAGTAAAAAAAATGAAGGGACCTTGTGGACGTTGGTGATCGAGAACTTCTGAGTGATGGCGTGGACCTTGGACCAAAACGCCTGGAGTGATGGACAGGCCCAAAAAATGTGGAACACGCCCGCAGGGGAGGAACCACATCTCCAACAGCAATCACTGGAGTCAGGGAATATCTTGTGCAGCCTACTGGGCGTATGGTACCATCGAGTAAGTATTTTATACCCTGATTCCTGATAGCGATTACCGATAGAGGACTTCAAGGATAGTTGCAAGATTCTCGAGGTGTCTTCAGCGAGAAGGTAAGTCCCAGATCTCTCTCCCATGCTGCCATAAACGGCAAAGGGAGATCACAGTCCAGTGCTAGGAGTAACTGATAGCATAGTGAGAGGGCTCTAGGTAGCTGTCCTTGGGAGGTGCATTCCTGCTCGAAAGCTGTGAGAGCGCGTGTCATCAATCCGGGGCGCAGGAGAGAGGCGAAGAAGTGGGTAAGTTGAAAATGGTGCCAGAAGCCCAGCGGGGCCAGGATGGGGTCCCTGTCCATGTCAGAACATGTCGGCCAGCCCGATCCCTGAATGAAATGAAGTGCCCTAAACTTTTCCTTAAGACCCAGTTGTACAAACCTCGGGTCCTGTAGCCCAGGGGAAAACTCGGGGTTCCCAATCACCGGGAGAAGCGGGGATGGGGAGGGGGAGATCAGTCTAGAGTCAAAGATCGTCCTGGCGATCTTCCAAGTTGGACCCAACGTGGGGTGTGAACGTAGCCCCTGTGAGATCCTAAGGCACCACGGGAGCGTTTTGAGGGGTAGCTGCGAAAAAGACTGCTCCAAGGAAACCCAAGGTTTCAGCTTCTCGTGGCGGCACCAGTCCAACATCCGCGTTAGATGGGCCGCCATATGGTAGAAGTTAAGGTCGGGTAGGGCCAGCCCCCCTGACCGTTTGGGACGTCGGAGAATAGAATGGCGGATCCTAACCGACTTCGACCCCCACACAAATCTCGTGATCAGGGACTGAACTGACACGAAGAACCCCTTTGGAATCGAGACGGGCAACGCCTGGATCGGATATAACAGTCTCGGGAGTACATTTTGTTTGATGACATTAACTCTGCCTGTCCAAGAAAAGGCCAAACGAGACCATCCCGATATATCCTCTTTGATCTTCTGCAACAGTGGTACAAAATTGAGAGAGTAGGTATCATCCAGTTTCCGCAGAAGCTGGATTCCTAGGTATTTCAGGGAGGAAGTAGACCATGCAAATGGAAAGTTGCGCTGCAGTCTTTGCACCCTATGGCTAGGCAGGGTGAGGTTCAGGGCCTCCGATTTCTGGGCGTTAATATGGAAGTTTGAAAGATCCCCGTATTTGGAGAATTCTCTAATTAAGTTTGGGATGGACACCTCCAAGGAGGTCAGGAAAAAGAGCAGATCATCTGCGTAAGCGGCCACTTTATGGGTTCGGCCCCCGGCTACTAAGCCTCCTATATGAGGGTTGTCCCTGATCGAGCGAAGCAAGGGTGCTAGGGTGAGTACAAAGATTAGCGGGGATAGTGGGCATCCCTGCCGGGTACCGTTAGAGATGGAAAAAACCTGCAATAGTGACCCATTCAATTGGACCCTGGCTGTTGGCGTGGAGTAAAGGGACATCACCCACGAAAGCATATGCGGTCCTAGGCCCACATGTTCTAGGGTGTGTTTCATAAAAGACCAATCGACCCTGTCGAAGGCCTTCTCCGCATTCGTAGATAGCAAGAGGGCGGGGGTGGCATTCGACATGGCCGAGTGGATTAGGTTCAGGGCTCTGGTGGTGTTGTCTCTGGCCTCTCTTGTGGGGATGAAACCGGCTTGATCAGGGTGGATTAGTGCCATAACGTAAGGCAGAAGCCGCATAGAGAGTATTTTAGCGAATAGTTTGGTATCCACATTCAATAAGCAGATAGGACGATAGCTCGGGCAAACCTTCGGGTCTTTTCCCGGTTTCGGGAGCACCGTTATGTGCGCAGAGAGCGAGTCTCGTGGCAGAATCCCCGTGTCTCTCACCGAGTTAAGGGCTCACACAAAGTGGGGGGCGAGGATGGAGGCATATTGCTTATAATAAAGCAGGGTGAATCCATCCGGGCCCGGGGCTTTTCCCGAGTTAGTCAGCTTT